CTCGGAGCAGGCAAGAATTCCCTGGTAAGGTGCTGGGCACCCCACAATAGAAGGGACCTATGCCAACTGCCACTACCTGTGTTTCAAGCCAAATGACTACACTACTTACAATGTGATGACAGTGTATGATCAAGTGAAAGTATACATTTTCCTGCATTTTTCTACATTCTCTTCCATTTCCTACAATCTAACAAAGTTAGAATATTGAAAAAGAGATGAAAAAAAAACAATGATTTGTTATTGGTTTTTAAATGGATTAACAGAAACTTACAGTCAAAATGGGGGCTAGAAAACTGTTTTTTTAAAGGAGAAAGAATGTTAATACAGTATCTGTGATTGAGTATAAAACTTAAAAGCTTTAAGCTTTCTTGACACACAGTTAAAAAAGAAAACCTGCCCCTGAACAAAATGGCAAAATAGAGGAGGGTGTTTTCCTGGCTGCTCCCTAGCATGAAATCAAGACATCAGATAGGCAACTTTTCAGCAAGGTGGGTGGGGGGAAAAGGGGGGAGGGGTTACAGGGAGTTAATACTGGACTTTCAAAGCAGATCCGAGACTCAGGAAGTTGGATATAAGAAAATAAGGAGGAAATCCCCAGCAACACTGCTAGCAGCTCCACAGTAGTCCTCCTGTAAGCAAAGTGGAGGGATAAGGAACCCACATTCTTAGGAGGCCTGTGGCACATTTGGGTATGCAGAGATCAGAGATCAAAGACAACGCCATGCTGTATCCTATCCTTGTGCAGGACAGGAAGCATGGCTATATCGGCTGTCCACAGACAGAGAAAGGAGCCATTTTGTAGCTGCACCATGGGCCCATGGGTAGAGGGGAGCAGCTTTGGGGACTGACTTCTGACAAATTTAAGCTGGGTTAAAAGTACAGGCTTGGAGAACCCTCACCACATGACATAGAAAGTGCCTAAATTACCAGAAGGTCAGATGCAAAAAGGGGATTTCATGGGAGAGTGCAGGTCATTGAAACACCACTGACAACCCCAGCCCCAACTCCCTGCAGTCCTGCCTATTGCAGGACCAGCTGGGAGGGACAAGCTCAGCCTGGTGTGGGGAGGAGTGATTTGACTTTGGAGCCTGAATCCCAGTTTGTAGGTGACAAAAGGGATAAATGATTTGTACCTCCCTGCAAGAGTGGAACCCAGGGTTTCCCAGCATGGACAGGCAATTGCTGGGTCCTGGAGGAGAGCTGATTTAAAATCCTCAGACTCAGTGAAGAACACAGAGACTACCCATGCCTAAATCCCACCTCCAGGAACTTTGCCTACAAGATCTCCTCTCTCACTCCGGCAACTCCACTGCGAGGGGAGAGTAGACATCACACATCAGCCCATGCCACCTAACACTGCTGAGAAGGGAAGCCAAGAAATTCTCAACTCCAATTGAAACAATTCTTTATATTTCCATTGAGAACGTTTTGTTTCTTCTTCTTCATTTCTCTGATTAATGGTGAATGAATGACTAATGGACACTTATACATATTTGTCTCTTTTTATCATTTTTATAATTTTTGGAAGTCAGTTATCATCAATAGCTCAGTCTTTTGTGGGCTACGATATTTGATCACTATATTTCAGTTTTGTTTTACACTCTATTATTTATTTATTTATTTTATTTTATATACCAGAAATTGAACTAAGGGGCACTTAACCACTGAGCCACATCCCCAATCCTTTTCTGTATTTTATTTAGAAACAGGGATTCACTGAGTTGCTTAGCACCTGACTAAAGTGCTGAGGCAGACTTTGAACTCACAATCCTTCTGCCACAGCCTCACAAACCACTGGGATTACAGGCGTGCACCACTATACCTGGCTTAATTTTTTAATGTATATTTTCTCTCTTGCTCCCTCATAATCTTCACATCCTATATCTCTTCTGGTCTCTCTGTTTTTAAAATTCTCCCCATTTTTGAAATTGTGAAACCTTTTGCAAATGTACTTTTTTTCCTATGGGCAATAACTGATCACATCATTTCTGTTCATTGTGCCAATGAACATAGAAGAAGATGTAGCAGGAACTATTTGGTTTAAAGCTGTATATTATTTGAATGGGTTGCTGTTATTATTTGTCTGCCCCAAAACTATGAAATACTGGAAAGCTGCAGGGAAAGTATAGGTCCACAGGGTAGAAACTCTACAGCCTCAGATTCCTATCTTTAAGTAGGTAGGCACACAAACAACATGAAAAAGCAAGGGAACAAACTGCACTAACAAACCAACATGATCCAATAACAGAACCCATATACAACACAGTGGAAGAAATGCTCACAGTTAAACTGATCTGTGCAGCACAGAAAGACAGAAGAAAAGATGTCAGAGAGAAAATACAGGAAGTGAGAGATCACTTCAATAAAGTGATAGAGGAGATTCTGAAAAAAAGAAATCAAGCAGTCAAGCAGAAATTCTAGAAATAAAAGAATCAATAAAACAAATTAAAGATTCAATGGAAAATATCACCAGCAGACTAGAGCACTTGGAAAATAGAGTTTTAGACAATGAAGAGAAAATATATAACCTTGAAAATACTGCTGAATACAGACAAAAGATGTTAAGAGACCACAAACAGAAATTCTAAGAAACATGGGATAACACAAAAAGACCAAACTTAAGATATACTAGGATAGATGAAGGCTCAGAGATAAAACCAAAGGAATGCCAATATTTTCAATGAAATAAAATCAGAAAATTTTCCAAACCTCAGGAAACAAATGGAAAATAAAATATAGGAGACTGACAGGATCCCAAATATACAAAATTAAGACAGACTCACAACAAACCATATTATCATGAAAATTCCTATTATTACTGTGTGTATATAGTGAATGCATGACCAATGTGATTCTGAAACCTGTATACTCACAAAAATGAGACATTATATTCCATCTGATTCAAATATATGATATGTCAAGGTCATTGTACTGTCATGTGTAACTAATTAAAACAAATAAAAATAAATTTAAAAAAATTAAAAATTATAGATTTTTATTGGTGCAATAACACATTAGAATAGAACTTCTTCTAACCTTATAAAATAGTCATTTTGAATCAGCAAGAAATATTAAAGAATATAATTAAAATATCAAAAAAAAAAAAAAGAAAATGCCTTACATAATTAGGATAAACCTTTAAAGGCTATCTGAGAAAAATAACAGGTCAAATTTAAGGAAAAATCATTCTGGATCACAATGCAGGCTCTCAAAGATAGGAAGTTTTGTAATAATAAAGGCCAAACTCTGAAAGAAAATGGATGCCACCAAAAACACAATACCCGGCAAAATTAGCTTCAGAATTGACAATGAAATAAAAACATATCATGATAAACCCAAGTTAAAAGAATTCACAACTAGAATATATGCTCTACAAAACATACTAAACAAAATATTTCATCAACGAGAAATAAAAGATAAAAGTGAAAACCAGCAAATGAAGGGACTACACTAGAAGAATAGTCATAGGGGAAACAAATTCAAATTATAAACCAGAAATAAATCAAAATGACAGGAAATAAAAATCACTTCTCAATAATAAAACTGAATGTAAATGGCCTAAACTTATCAATCAAAAGACAAGAGTGTTGGTCTGGGGTGGTGGCTTAGTGTTAAGAGTGCTTGCCTGGCATGTGTGAGGTTGCCAACCAGAATATTTCACTGTAACAGTGGGAACTCAGTTACTCAGTTACTCATTCTCAGTACCACATATAAATAAATAATAAATAATAAAGTTCCATCAACAACTAAAAAATAAGATACAGACTGGCAGATTGGATTAGTAAACAAGATCCAACAATATGCTGTCTTGAAGAGACCTCGTAAGCAGGACATCCACAGATTTAAGGTAAAAGGATGAGAAAAAAACTTACCATTCATTGGATAAAGCAACTGTGGTACATATACACAATGGAATATTACTCAGCATGAAAATATAAAATCATGGCATTTGCAAGTAAATGGATGAGTTGAAGAAGATCATGCTAAATGAAGTAAGTCAATCCCAAACAAAACAAAGGTTGAATTTGTCTCTGATAAGTGGATATTGATCCATAATGGGGGTAGGGGAGGGAGCATGCAAGTAACGGAGGAACTCGAAATAAGGATGGGAGGAGAAGGAATGGGGCCTAGGTATTTGTGTGAAGACACAAATGGGGTGACTCTACTTAGTGTACAACCAGAGAAATGAAAAATGGTGCTCCATATGTGTACTATGAAATGAATTCTGTTGTCATGTAGAACAAATTAGAACAAATTAATTAATTAATTAATTAAAATCTTAGCATTCACATGGATCTTGTAAATAAGCAGGGGTTTCTATCCTCATATCAGATAAAGTGGACTTCAAGTCAAAGTTAATCAGAAGAGACAAAGTAGTACACGTCAGACCACTTAAGGGAATTATACATCTACAAGACATAACAATCATAAATATCTATGCTCCAAACAATGGAACATCTAAATACATCAAACAAACCCTTCTCAATTTCAGGAATCAAATAGACAACAAAATAATACTGGGTGACTTTAACACAACTCTCTCATCACTAGATATGTCTACCATACAAAAACAAAACAAAGAAGCTACAGAACTGAAAAACACAATTAATAATTTAAACTTATGAAACATATATAGAATAATTCATCCGTCAATGACTTACTATAGTTTCTTCTCAGTAGCACATGAATCATTTTCTAAACAGAGCATATCTTAGGCCACAAAGCAACTCTTAGCAAATAAAAAGAAACAGACATAATAAATATATTTTATCAGATCATAATGGAATAAAATTAGAAATGAATTATAAAATAAAAAATAGAAGCTGCACTAACACCTGGAGACTAAATACCATGTTAATGAATGACCAATGGATAGCATAAAAATTCAAGGTTGAAAGTTAAAAAATGCTTAGAGGTAAACGAGAATAGGAATACAATATATTATACTCTCTGACAAGTTGGTTCTATAAAAAAAATAAATTTCAATTTTTTTTTTTTTTTTTGAAACCGAGGCGGCAGACCCGATCGGCTGCTTGGCCGTTGCTGCTGAGCCTCTTCTGAACAACAGCGACAAGGACTACTGCGAGCGGGAGCGGCAAGAGTCTGAGGCGCAGCCGTGTCGCCTCCTTACGATGACCAGTGTGGTTAAGACAGTGTGCAGCGTGCAGCCCCCCTCTGTGCTGAGCGGCGGCCTGTCGGCAGATACACAAACTCAAGCTACTACCAAGAGTCTGTTACCTATTAAGTCCAAAGAAGTCGATGTTTCCAGACATCTTTATTCAGGAGGTTCAGATAATGATATTACAAAAATCACCAAACCAAAGCGAGAGAATGGGCAGATGAAGGCTGCAGAGACTGCCATCAAGAGGAACATGAAGAAGAGCTACAAACCATTGAGTAAGCAAAAATCAGAGGAAGAGCTCAAGGATAAAAATCAGCTATTAGAGGCTGTCAACAAGCAGCTGCACCAGAAGTTGACTGAGACTCAGGGAGAGCTGAAGGACCTGACTCAGAAGGTGGAGCTGCTGGAGAAGTTTCAGGACAATTGTTTAGCGATTTTAGAGAGCAAGGGCCTCAACCCAGGCAGTGAGACCCCGGCATCACAGCCGGAACCTACTCTGGATCACACAGACTCTATGTTGCTGTTAGAAACTTTGCAAGATGAATTGAAACTTTTTAATGAAACTGCCAAGAAGCAGATGGAGGAGTTACAGGCCTTAAAGGTAAAGTTGAAGATGAAAGAAGAAGAAAGGGTTCGATTTCTAGAACAGCAAACCTTATGTAATGGTCAAGTCAATGATTTTAAAACACCCCTGGAGGAAATGGAGCAGCTATTAGAAATGTAATAAAAGACAAGTGGCCAGATGGCTCCCTGTTGGGGATAAAATTCTCAGAGGAAGTCACTTAAGACATCTTCGTGGCCATGATCTTCTAAGACTTACAATCCCCAGAGTGAAAACAGTTTCTGCAGTAGGATTAAGGGCAGATTATGCTGGAATGGAGGTTCTTCCTTTAAACAGCTTTCCCCACCTTCAGATTGGTCAACTCTCCTGAGCATCACATGTAGATAATGGAGGCCTATAAGAATGGACCTGGAAGCTTGACTCAACCTTGTAGGCAACAAAGCAGCACACCATTAGAATCAGGAGACTAAAGCAGCCACAACCAGAGACTCTAGAAGGTCACATTCAGGTTTACAGGAAGAAATCCTTATTTTTACAGTAGAGCACAGGAGCTCCCTGAGGCATCACTGATGAGCTGTGCTGTTCTCTCTTAGAACACACACTGTTCCATCCTGGTTGGGCTTTTATACATCATTGTAAATTTGTGAACTTGAAGTTTTTGGCTTAACAAATGGGGTGATGGTATAGATAGGAATAACACCTACCTGAAACAATACATCTTGGAGCTTTTAATCTAAATCACATCTGTTTTTATTTTTGTTTTTTTTTTTAAGTACTACTTTGGAAATAAATATTTATATAAAAAAATAAATTTCATAAAACCTTAGCAAAGCCAACTATGAGAAAGAGGTAAAAAACATAAATACTAAAATCAGTGATGAAAAAGAAAATATTATCATGAAAAATACTTATGTAAGTATTTTATCATAGAGGATGATCAGAAATTATTTTGAAATTTATGCTCCAATAAAATGGAAAATCTTAAAGACATAACCAAATTTCTAGAGACATATGACCTATCCAAATTGATTCAGAATGACACAGAAAATTTAAACAGCTCAATATCAAGCAATGAATTAGAAGATGCCATCAAAAGCCTCCCAACAAAGGAAGGTCCAGAACGAAATGGATGCTCACCCAATTGGTACCAGACCCACAAAGAACAACTCAAACCAAAACTCCTCAAATTATTCCATGAAGCAGAAAACCCTTCCAAACTCATTCTATGAAACTAGTATCATCCTGATACCAAAACCAGACAAGGACACATCAAGAAAACAAAAGTTCAGACCAATATCCCTGATAAATATAGATGTAAAAATTTCAATATAATAATAACAAATCATATACAAAAAATATATTTAAAAGATATTGCACCAAGACCAAGTGGGGTTAATCCCTGGATGCAAGGTTGTTTCAACACACGGAGATCAATAAATGTAATTCACCACATCAATAGACGAGAATCACATGATTATCTCAATAGATGCAGAAAAAGTTTTTGACAAAAGAAAGCATCTATTCATGTTCAAAACACAAGAAGAATTAGGCATAGAAGGAACATACTTCAACACTGTAAAAGCTATATACATTAAACTCATAGCCAACATCATCCTAAATGGTTGAAAATTGAAAACATTTCTTCTAAAAACTGAAATAAGACAGGCTGCCCTCTTTTATCACGTCTATTCAACATAGTGCTGAAAACTATAGCCAGAGGTATTAGGGAAAAGAAAGAAATTAAATAGATATGAATAGGAAAAGAAGAGCTCAAACTATCTCTATTTGCAAAAAGAATAATCCTATATTTAGAAGACCCAAAAACTGCACCAGAAAACATTTAGAACTCATAAACAAATCCAGTGAAGTAGCAAGATATAAAATTAACATGCATAAGTTAACTGCATTTCTATAAACCAATGATGAATCAGCTGAAAGAGAAATTACAAAAACTGTCCTAATTCACAACAGGTTAATAAAAAAAAACACCTTGGGAATCAATCAA